CTAGGTCTGCAACAGAGTAGCTTGATTATTCTCAGAAAGTACAAGCACCAGAAAGGTGGTAGGAAAAAAGGCAGTTATAGCTCTTTTTGTTTAAATAACATTTAATAAAAACTCAATGACCATTGAGTAGTACCGTGCAACATGTACAGAATGCTGTGTTTCTGGTACTCTGTTCTTCATTATTTTTTTGAACTCCAGATTCTAATGAAACATGCCAAGCACTTGCTTGGTGTAGGGAGTCGGAGTATCCCGAAATTCAGAGGGCAGAGCTGCAAAGTTGGCCCCACCATCATTTTGTATCCACATTCCTGCTACAAACAACACAGTCACTGTGTTAGAGGATTTCACAAGCCTTGTTTTATGGGCTACTCATGGAGTTTTATGAGAGATGATCCCATTTAAATGGTTCAATCCATTGAACTAGGGTTTTTGTTTGTTTGTATTATTTTTAAACCAATACTGAGTGCTTCCTTTGTGCCCAGAACTAGGCAAAAACACTATACATACACCAACCTCATCTAATCATCATGATGTCCTTATGGGCTGTGCACTAGCATTGTGCCCATTTCACATATGAAAACATTGGGGCAAAAAGAGATTAGGTGATTTGTTTAAGTTAAGTCATTTGCCCAGGTTTTTCTGGCTGAGCAAAGATCTTAACTCCTATTTCCTGATTCAAGTATAGAGCTTTTATAGTATACATACTGCTGTTTACGCCTGTGACACAGGGTAATACTTGTGACATTTGGGGACGCACACCAGTGTCTTCTTTACAAAGGATAGGAGCATTTTCAAAAGGGGTCACTCAGCTTGCAATGATAGCTGCCTGGCTTCTCATATTCTCCCTATTCTGGCCTTTCCCCACCTATTCCTTCCATCTTTCTGTCCACTCATTCTCCAGTATTCATCTTTGTTTAAATCAGATTGTTTGCTTATTGTTCCTTGAATACTCCATGCTCAGTTTAACATACCATGTGTTCCCTTGCCTGAATTGCCATCTTATTTATTCTCCCACCATTGAATACCAAGATTGAGATTTTCTGGCGACACCCCCCAATCATTTTGCTCTTAAATGAGCTCCCTTCCCTTAGTTTCATGCAAATTCACAATTAATTACATTTGTCTATTATCACCTGCTTTCAGTCATCAGGAAACATTTTCAATAACTCTTTCCCAAATTTCATACTTATATCTATAATAACCTTATTTACACCAAAAGGGGAATGATTATTTATAATCTTTATTGAGTGTTAGATTTCTGCCTTTATATTATGCTAAGGTCTTCTCAAAAATTGCCTTGCAACTCTTCTGTGAAGTATGGGTTATTGTGACCATTTTATAGGACAAAAGTTGAGGCTTCAAAAGATGAGTAAATTGTCTAAGGCAGTGCTCGTGGCACAGCCAGGAACTACGAGTCACTGTCCCCCAAGCCTGTGTTTATCTCCCAGTACAGTGATTGTTGCCCTCAGAGTGGTATTTTCTTTTTCATTCATCCTCTTATTAGTTTATGTAACAACTTTCAAAGATATTCTAGTAAAAAAAAAAAGTATCTAGAAAGGTCTAGAGTGAATTTCTGCAGATAACATCTGGCACGTTGGCCTGATATGGGTGGGCAGGTAACATTTCTTTGTATCCCTGTAATCACAGTTTCAAGAGTAGAAATATGTACATCAGGGCAAGGTGAGCTCCAAGTATCCTTCCTGTTTGGGAAACCTCACTTCTCTAGAGGTTGTTTGAACACTCACTATGCCCTGTGTTCCTGCAAAAATAAGATATTTTAAGCAGAAATTTCCACAGTGACTCTTTTCAAATTTGCATGCTTTCCTTTGTTTCGAAATTACTGCCATCATCTAATGAAGAGAAATAGGTTAAATTAATCAAAGGAATTTAGACTGAATATAAAGAAAAAATCTGCTAATAGTGAGATCCATTAGACTTTATTAGAAGCCCCATTGATTGAGTCATTTAAAAGAAGAGTGACGATCTCCTGAGATGATTCTGAGAGTACCCCAGGCCAGGGGAGAGAGTAGCAGATGGAATCCACAGGCCCCTCAGTCTCTAATGTGGGTGATTTTTTCTGAATTCCCTCATTTTGCCTTCTTGTCAACAAATCCTGCCATCATTTCACTCACATCTTTGCAGCCTCTTTCCAGAGCTGTTAACAGAAATCATTTCACAGAGAGTGGGAAAGAATGTCATTTTGTCATTTTCTTGGGGGAGTGGATGGGAAGAACAGGCGTCTCTGCTTCCTAAGGCTTTCATGATGAAAACAGGAGGAGAGTGAGGCCTGCCAGCTTGTGGGGTGTAAGAAACTTTACTTGGCAGCACTGTGTGGAAATAGTAACTGGAAACTCCCTAGTCAGCCTCTCCCCTTATTAACTGGAAGGAAGGACAGTTTGGGACCACACAACACCCACAACTTGCTGACACTAATGAGCTGCATGAACTTAATCATTACATTATATTTGAAAAGTAAGTGGGACCTTAATGATCATCGGGTATTACCTCCTTCTTGATGCAGGAGCTCCTTTTAATTACAGAATTCCTGTGAGATGGCCATTGGAAGCTCATTATTTCATTGAACTTTCCATCCCATGGTTAGTTGTTTCATTTGTTAAGAAAGTCACCCTTTTATTTATCTAGGACATTTTTCCATTAGTATTTGCTTTCCCATTTGGAATAATAAGAATAATGTCTGATAAAAACAATAATAATGATAATTATGATGATGATGATGGCTCACAGAATTTTTTCCTATATACTACGCATGTAATAAAATCGCATATGTTTATGTTCATTTGTTATCACAAACATTTTATATTATAGGCATTAATATTTGCTCCCATTTTTTTTAAGATTTTATTTATTTATTTGACAGAGAGTGAACGAGTGAGAGCAGGAACACAAGTAGGGGGAGTGGGAGAGGGAGAAGCAGACTCCCGCTGAGCCGGGAGCCTGATGCGGAGCTCGATCCCAGGACCCTGGGATCATGACCTGAGCCAAAGGCAGACGCTTAACAACTGAGTCACCCAAGCACCCCAGTATTTGCTGCCATTTTACAGAAAACGGAATCAAAACCTAGAGTGCTAAAGTGACCTTGCTGAGAGTCACACTACTAATAAATGGAGAGTTAGAATTTGCACCCACGTCTGTTGGATCGCAGATCTCAAGCTCTTAGGCACTCTGCATAGTGGACGCACAAAAAGCTTCTAGCTCCTCATTTTCCATGTTATCTTCTTACCCCTTTTTTTCTGGGTTGCACATCTCTGCATCCTTAAGAATTCCTTGATTAATATGACTTTCAGTCACCACATGATCATAGCTGATTCTGTTTTATAGGTTTCTAACTTTCTTTCCTAATGTATGGAACTTTGAGCTGGAAATAATACTGAAATGTTTGACAGATGCAGCATATAGAAGATTCTGTGGCCACCCTTCTTCATCATTTTTCCAAATCAAGTTTTTGCATCTGCAAAAGTTATTAAGGAATAATAACTGACATCAGAAGAATACCAAAGTACAAAACTTAAAGAAGATAGAAAATATTTACAATTGAGAAGACCCAATTTTCAGATCAGAAGGATTCTTTTTTTTATTTGAAACGTCACCATTTTCTCTGTAAAACTGAATACAAAACTTAGTTTAAGGGTGCCTGGGTGGCTCAGTCGGTTAAGCATCTGCCTTCCACTCAGGTCCTGATCCCAAGGTCCTGGGATTGAGTCTCACATTGGGCTCCCCGCTCAGCAGGGAGTCTCCTTGTCCCTCTCCCCATGCCCCAACACCTGCTTGTGCTCTCTTTCTCTCAAATAAGTAAATAAAATCTTTAAAAAAAAAACTACTTAATTTAAATGATTTCTTACTTGATTTGAGGACCTGTAACTACATCTTCCTCCATCAGCTGAAATTTGGAGTGATAATGCTTTCATCTCAGCCACCTCAGGTGCAGCCACACAGGAGGTGCCTCATTCTTGTGCATTTAAGAGCTCCACTGTAAACTTCTGGCCAAGCTAATGTTGCTAACAGAGCTCAGGCTTTCAGATTAATCAGAAAGAGAAATGAGAAGTAGGTTGGACTGGCTTTGGGTGGTTAAGGAAAATCGAAGAGCAGGAGAGGGGAGGCATTCCTCCCATAGCTATAGTGGAAGTTGGGGCCACTACAGAAGTTCCTGGCTGCTGATGCCTTTGCCTGGAACTCTCAGGAAAGTTCAGATGCTTATGTAGAAACTGTGCTGAACAGGAACAGGTCTTTGAGAAAATTCCTGAGATGTGTAGGGGAAGTAAGCTAGTATGCTTTCAAGGAACTCATACACATTCTAGTCAAGTAGCAAAACCAGTGCCAAAAGAAGCAGATAGACCTTGTTAAAAAAAGAAAAGTAGTAGTAAAAGTGGTAATTATAGTAATAAAATATTATGTAAAATAGAATAATATCAGTAATATAAGAAGTCAAACATGGAAATAAGGAGAAAAGAAGGCCTTTGGAGTTAGGCCATTGCTACGCCTTTCCATGTCCTTTTCCATGTGATTTAATGGTGTCCCTGGCAATAGGGTCTTCAAGAAAGTGTCATGGGAGAGGTAACCTATTGCATTGAAAAACAGATGCTATTAAATGTCAGGAGTTCTCAGTTACAGTTCTGGTAATTAAGTAGTACTGTTGTTGGAGATACTTTTTATTATTAGATTATTATATGTAAAAATTTAAAAACAACAACCACCAACAACAGTAATGCAGTAATGCTTAAAATAACACCTCCCCCTCGCTCTATCTCTCCAATTACCTAGTCCTTATTCTTGTTAGTTTTAAAAATTTTGCTTCTTGTGGAGGTTACATCCATAGCTGTAAGCAAGGTGTTGGTATGACTTTTTCTTGATTTATGAAACATAGGCGTTATCATTTCCTGTCTATTAAAGATGAAGATTTAGCTCACTTATATGACCCCAACTTCCCTTCCTCTACTCAACTCATGGTTAATATTTTAGTTTTCTAGTTGGTTAAATCTTTCGTACTTGCTTCAGCAGCACATATGCTAAATTTGGAATGGTACAAAGATTAGCATGGCCCCTGCTCAAGGATGACATGCAAATTAATGAAGCATTGCATATTTTTATGGCATATTGTTCAGCCTTAAAAAAGATTGCACTTCAAGGGGAGACCCTGGAAGACATCAGGCTAAGTGAAATAAGCCAGAGACAAAGGACAAATATTCTGTGGTTCTACTTATATGAGGTATCTCTAGTAATGAAATCCTAGAGACAGAAAGTAGAATGGTGGTTGCCAGGAGCTGGGGAGTGGGGGCAATAGGAGTTGTTATTTAATGGTATAGAGTTTTAGTGGGGGAAGATGAAAAAGTTCTGGAGATGAATGATGATGATGTCTATGCGACAGTGTGAATATACTTAATGTCACTGAGCTGTATATACTTAAAAATTCTTAAAATGGTAAATTTTGTTATGTATATCTTACCACAATAAAAAATATAAAAATATCTCCTATTCAACTTTTCTTATCTTTTGACCTTCATATAAAAATTAATGTGTTTCTGCACATCTCAGTTTTCACTCTCATTGTACTAGAATAATTTCATATACAAACTATTCATAAAGGTATGTAGAAGCAGTTGTTGTGGACATTGGTGCTGTTCACAAATAATTTTTCCTCCTCTCTGCCTTCTTTGCACATGGAATTATTGAACTTTGTACCCCTTGTGGCTGGTGAAGCCAAGGGACTAGCTTTGGCCAATTAATTGAGCAGCAGGGAAGTGAGTCATTCTCAGATCTGGGCACCTAAGTGTATATCTGTCAGTCCTCTGCCATAGCAACTAGCAAAATTTGAGATGGCTGCTTTTTTGTGTTGTTGTTTTTTTTTTCTTTCTTTTTATGTTCTCAGATTTCCTAATGTTATGTTTATAGTAGGTATTTTTTTTCACTCATTCTTGTATGTAAGCAGGGTACCCTTTAAATAGAGTCATGTTGTGCAAAATTTTCCTGTTTTATTTTGCTTTTCTTCCCTTTTCTGTTTTCTCCTTCTAGAGCTCATATTTGTTGGATGTCTGGTATCAGTGATTATCCTCTTATGCCTTTTATATTTTATCACATATTCTCAGTCTCTTTGTCCTTTTTGCTCTATACTTATGTAGAGTTCTTTGATTTTATCTTACTGTGTTATTGTGTTTTGTTTTTGTTTTTTTGGTATAATCTTTCAAATCTCTGAGAATACTAATTAGGTTTTTTCAAGTTTCTTCTCTTCAATGAGTTATTTCTGTTTCCACTGGGATTGTTTTGTTTATTTTGCCATTTTAATGCTGCTAATTTTCTTTATATGCGTGAGTGATTATAAGTTATTTGTGCATTTTTAAAACAGGAAATACTGAGTTGGCTTTTCCAGGGAGTGGGTTGGATCTTCTCCACTGCTATATTTGCATGCATGTTTTCCTTACAAGATTTTTCCTTCAGTCAGAAGGCTGACCTGGCCAGATCTGTACTTAAATCACTGAGGAGCCAGGCTTTTGATAAGGGATTACTAAAATGGGAAGAAATCTATTCCATGGTGCTAGCACCCAGCTAGTAGTCCTAATTCTCCCCCCTCAACTCATTACATTTCTTAATGTAGGGGTCATTGTTTTTGTTATGGTAATTATTATTTGCTTTGTTTTCTTTGTCCTTAAAGCCATAGGAGGTTTCTTGTACTGTTGTTATATCCAGATAGAAATGTGGGAGAGGGCGCCTGGGTGGCTCAGATGGTTAAGCGTCTGCCTTCGGCTCAGGTCATGATCCCAGGGTCCTGGGATCGAGTCCCACATCGGGCTCTCTGCTCCTTGGGAGCCTGCTTCTCCCTCTGCCTCTCTCTCTCTCTCTCTCTCTGTCTCTCATGAATAAATAAATAAAATCTTTAAAAAAAAAAATTAAAAAAAAAATGTGGGAGAGAGAAGGGTGGGAAGTGATTGGCTTCTTGTTCTAGAAACAGAATTTCGGTCAGACTTATATTTCTCTCTACCAGTTTTGGCTCATTTTCATAATCCTACACTCTATTCTTTTTAATTTTATTCCAGAAGTTTTGGGGGTTCTGCCTAGAAAATTAACTCCCTCTTTCCCTACCATCCTTTCCTATGTTAATTTTGGGCTGCAGATTTCTCAGTCTTATTTGTTCAGTTGTATGGTTCTCATCCATTTTTCATCTCCCAGAAATGCTTTGACATCTAATGTTGAATGATGGCCCTTCTCCCATTCTATTTCCTATTAGGCTTTATGGGTTTAATTCTGTTTTTATTCTCACTTATTTTAATGAGAAGTAGAGGCAAATGCAGGCACTTGATCACCATATCAAACCGGAGATCATCCTGTGCACTTGCAGAAAACCAAAGACTGAATTGCACTTTGCTCTTCTGCAGTGCCATCCAGTATGCACTCGTGGAGGGCCATATGTGATGAGTTTGTATAGCTCGAACACAGGTGGGTATTTTTATTGTTTCCTGGACACAAGGTGCATTGACATCTTTTCATGGTTCTTAAGCTGTTTGAAAAGAACATTATAGGACAATAGAAGGCAGATGAAAGTCAGGATTTGAATCAATAGCCCTTTTTCTTGCCATATCTTTTTTTATTTTTTTTTTAACTGGGTCTTGGAAAAAGTTGGATATGACCAATGCAAAATTCCATTCTTAAACTAGTAGTTCTGTTTTTGAGTGTAACAAGTTGCAGTGACTTAATTAAAAAGAAACTAAAAAAATAATAAAAGTAGTAATTATCAGAAAAGCTAAAACATTTTAGTAGGTTTTCTGTTTGCATTTTAGAAGATGTTGTATCTCAAAGAATCTTGAATTCAGGTTTTATTCTTGTAGTTCCCTGCATCTATAATTATCCCCCAAGTCATTTTCCTCAGTTCTTGTAAGAATACATCTGGTACTTCTGAAAAATATTTTCACAAGTGCTCTTGGGTGATTTATTGGTGCTTACATCCATCCTATGTTGGGTATATAAAATCATGCCTATTCCAAATGTCCAGTGTTGACAGCAGCATGGTTTTCATAATCCATCCAAACCTCCCTTCTGTCTACCTGCTTTTATTAACTCACCCTGCTTTCACCCTCCCTAAACTTCTAGGCTATTCATGATGTAATCTGGTGTGTGTTATATGCCTCAGCATCCTCCTCCCTCTGATAACTCATTTGAATCTTCTCATTTATACTAACCTTGTCTGTCTTATTCACAATCACATGTCCAAACCTCTTTTGACTCCATATTTCTTAACATTTTTTCCTTTTTTTTTTTTTTTGAAAGAGTGGACCGATGGGTATGGTCCATTGTAGATGGGGAGAAGAAAGAGCAGAAGAGGTTTCTTCAATTTGAGCTCTGTGCTGTGTATCAAGCTGGAGTCAAATACTAGATTGCATCTACCGAGAAAAACTGTTGGTCAGATCTGAAGTACTTGTAGTGCAAGGTGTGTGAAGTGCTGGAGAATACTGGAGCAGGGAGAAATAGATTGAAAAAGTCAACTGAAAGTGGCCTACATGATTATCAGAGTTAAAGCTTAGCGTTCTCAGCTGTGCTTTTGTGCACAATGATACTTTATAAAATAGAATATATGAAATTAAAATCTGAGTCTCATCCTACATTTTATCCATTGAAAACCAAACATGAATGATTTATGTGCTTATCAAAGATCTAAAAGATATAAACTATGCAATGCATTATAGTAAAAATTATGGAAAATTCAATAGTGGCTAAGGCATTACCCTCAAAGAAACCTGTTATATGGCAGGAGAGAGATAAGTACACATTTAATGGAGTGATGGGCAAGAAGAAAGACATGACAATATTTTGTAAGTGGCAGAATTGATTGTTTAGAACTGACAGGATACAATGTGCTTATTGCTGTGGTTTAATTTTTTTTTTTCCATCATAGCCCTTGGACCCACAAAATCAAGGCAACACTGGGGAGCATGTGTTAGGATGAGAAATAAGGACAGCTTGCCAGTCAGTTGTAGTGTGGCCGTGGAGGGCATAGTTTCCATTTATTGAAAGTGTGCTGAAGGTGGCCAGAAGTTCCTGTTAATCACTCTTTTTTGCCTATAAAATGCGAATACTTCCTTAATAAAAAATTTATGCCCTCTGGCAAGTCATCTTGCCTAATTATAATTCCAGATCTTTCCATTGATTTTCTCACAGGAGAACTTGAAGATATTTTTCTACTCTTCCAGTCCTCTTTCAAAAGTAACAAAAAACATGAATCACCACTGATCTTTCAGTTCAGTGCTGTATGTTTCTTTAGATAACTATACCTTTTAAAGCATTTTGTTCACTAATGTGTTTGTTTATACACCTACACTATATTTCATTTACGGGTAAAGTCTCCCATTTAGCCATTTTGCCAAAGGAGAGGTCATTCTGTGGTTAAAGTCACTCAGGTTATTAGAGAGAATACCCCAAACCATTGCTCTGTATGGCTTAGTTATTCTACTCAGCAGAGCTGTGTTTTGGTGGGTTTTTTTTTTTTTTTTCCATTTTCATCACCTCAGTGTTCTAAGAATCTGTTAAATTCTAGCTTCCAAGTACACAGAGTGAGAGAAGGAAATGTCTTCCTGTAACAGTAGCATGCACCATAGGTTGCAATGCTCATAACACAGATTAGATCAACTGGAACCTGCTTGGTTTTTGAATTGTGAAGTTGGATGAATTGTGAGGAAAGGGAAGACACTGCAGCCAGGGCTGTCAGCCTGAGCACTGTACAACTTTTAGGGGTGGCACTTGCAAAGACGGCAGTGAATAGGACTTTGCAATAGGGTGGAGGCCTTACACCATCTATTCTTTGGTCTGAAACAGTAAAACTAAGTGTTCAGTTTGTTTAGAGAAAGGTAGCATCCCATTGTTACGTAAAACAGAGAGTAGCATCCAATATTCAGGCTATACCATATTAGTAACATTAGTGTGCCTATAAGAAAAATAGAAAAGAATGTTTCAAGTTGAAATTTCAGTCTCCTCCCATCCATTGAAGTCAGACAGGGATGATTCATGAATTTATTAAAGATACAAGAGGCACATGTTATATACAATTCATCCTGCTAATGTTATAGAAAATTCAGATGAATAAAGCAGTGCCCTCAGAGGAAC